TGTCAAGTCTGAGTCACCAAAGAATAGTCAGTTGTGTCCCTGTTGCCTAAGCCCAAGCCATTAAGGTTTATATTAAACACAATGGACAATTCTCATCATTTTAAAAGAGGTTTACTTACTGTGTGTGACACAGTAGCCAAACGAAATACACTCTAAGCGCACACACACACACACACACACTACTTAGAAGTGAACAGTGTCAGTATTTTATGCCAAATTATTACGGCCTATTCCAAAAAAAGTCCTAGTCCTTGTCTCCACCTTCAGTGTCTGAATCCAGTCAGTGCTTGATTCCAAGTCATCATTGCTCAAGTCCAAGCTGAGTCATGAGTCCTGAAAATTAGGACCCAAGTCGGACTTGAGTCTGACACCTGGACTTGATTACTACAATACTGCCATGAAGTCAGTGTGACTTCTGTAGTGTACCTGCTGGGGCTGACACACAGCTACCTCTGTACATGGTAACTGATGTGGGTTTGCATAATATATCAGTGAGTCAATAGCAAGACGAGTGAGTTTGTACATATTCAAGGAAGGGAAACTGTACACTCATTGTTAACCATCCAGCATACAGGATCAAAGAAAACCTGATATCGCTGTTTTCACGCCTTGTACTTAATTAAAACTCAAGACCTCAGAACATGTAGTCCTCTCATGCTGAGTGTGAACAGAGTTGCTGTCGTTGGTGCACAATGAGAAATTCTTCATCTCTTGAAAGCTGTGGGTTACAAGCCTAATTTCCAGTATTACTTGCACAAAAGCTGCTATTGTATGGTGAAACATGTAGACTACTGCGCACATATGTTAGCAATTACATTGTTCTGTGCTGCAGCTTAACCAGTGTTATGGCAAATTTCACAGTTTTGTTCAGCTGGAATTTTTTAACTGCCACTTTAGAAAAGAAACTCTAAACTAGAGATTTTAAACTAAACCTTGTTGTCCTTCCAAACTGTATTAAACAGTCATAAATTATATAAAATAGTAGAAGGAAGGTGTTCAAGGGCACATACTTTATTGTAGGGCTACAGCAAATTATCTTATCAATAAATGTGGTGAGTGGTTTTGTTGATTAATCTTTATAGAATATTAAAAAAACAAATGTCCATTAGCAGATTTAAAACCGGTGTTTTCAAAGTCCTTATTCAGTGTAACTAAAGGTTTTCACTCTGACCATATTCTGCTGTACATATTGTTTCACTTACACAGTACATATTGCATAACTGCCTGTTTGTATTGTGTTAAGCGTAGCCAGACCATTCTAGTGTACATACTGTGTACTCGGCTCTGTTCATGCTATACATATTATAGCTACATACTGACACTCATAGCTTCTTTTTATGTTGTTTTGTTTTGTATAGCACTTCCTCTGTCACCACCCAGTTGGTTTATGATTAATGTGTACATTAAGAAAAAATAATGTTTGTATCGTTGCTGCTGTATGTACAGTGTTTCAGCCCTATTTACAGTAAGAGTTGGCTTACAATTGCTAAGTGGTCTAAATAACTGTGTTTCCACCATCCACACACAGTGTCAACATGGCGAATATGGATGCTGAGACCACTGCACACACCGAGGCCATTGTGGGTGAAGAGTGGGCTCTTCTCAGTCATCTGGACCTCTTCCTCTTCTCCCTGATTGTCGGCTTTGTCATTTATTGGTTCATGTCAAATAAGAAGCCTGAGCCCATCCCTGAATTCAAGAAGCTCGACACACCGTGAGTATCTTATCACCTGAGTTTTGTGTTTGTTTGTTTTAAACCACTTGTAGTATTACCAGGTTCTGATATGAATCTGACTACATCTTTTTGAAGAAAAAAAAAAGAAGGCTGCTGTAAGGATCAGAAACAATTTAAAACCCATAAATTGCCAAATGTAAGGAGGTGAAGCATGTAATTTGCATTTTATTGAATAGTCATGCTTTATTTTTGGGCATCAAAAATACATGAAAACTGTGGGAGGAAGCCGGACTGTGTGGAGGAAACTAGGATCAAACACTGATTCATTTCCAAATCAAATCACGGGCGGCGACCGCGGTGCAGTGGGTAGAGCAGTCGTCTCCCAATCACAAGGTTGGAGGTTATGAATCTCGCTGCCGGCAGTCCACGTGTCGAAGTGTCCTTGGGCAAGACACTGAACCCCCCCGTTGCCCCCGATGGTTAGAGCCATCGGTTGAGTTGGCACCGCAGATGACTGTCATCGGTTCTGTACTGGAAACAAATTCCTTGTGTGTGTAACATACTTGGCCATACATTCATTCTATTCTACCTATCTAAAATCTCAATAAAATTTTCGCCACCAAAACTGCTATTTAAACTGCCACTAAAATGTGTTTTTAAATGCTACAGATTCTAAACAATCCAAGCAGCATCCCAGCAGGGTTCAGGTGCACACACTTTGCCAACCTGGGCAGGCTTCATGTGAAATCTGCAGATTAAGTGAGAAATTTGAGAGCACACTGGCATGGATTTGTAAGAGCAGTATCAGATATGAGAGCAACATTTTGGCACAATCAGACCCTTACATAAACTCCACCTGAGAAATCTGAGAGCACAGACTCAGAAACGAGCGCACGCATGACCTGGGTTCACGCTCGCAAATCTGATTCTGCCCTTATAATTATGTGTCTGCATGCTCTCAAATGCTGAATTGCAAGCTGAATAGCACTTGAAATGTGCTTTGTGTTGTTGTACCCGGTACTTTTTACCATACTCACTCTGAGAGACGAGACAGTCCAAGTAACTTCAAAACAGTGCTGATTTATTCAAAGGATCACAGGTAAAATTAACATTACACGCTCAGGTATCTTGCACCTCCAAACTGCTCGCAGGCATGAAAGACCCTGAACCCACCAGACCTATACATTATATCCCCTCGGTTGGGCTAGCCCCATACTACACAGAAACGTCAACCGAGACGTCTCTGTTACCAGCTTTGCAGCTGGTCATAGCAGTAGTCAAAACATGAAGCAAATCAATGTGTGTGTGTCTGTTG